GGGGCGGAGCCTCGCACAGGCCCGGGGTGACGTAGCCGCCCCGCCCCGCGCGGGCGTCCGCCGGCTGCTCGGCCCCTGCGGCAACCTTCCGGAGCCTTCCGGGCTCAGCAGCCCCCGCTCTCCCCAGGGGCAGCGCCGGGGAAGGAGCTGAGGGAAAGGCCGTGTGTTTGGCCCATCAGCAGCCCAAGGGCTGCGTTGCAGAAACTGCCTCGGGGAGAGGTTTGGGGCATCGCTGCTAGACCCCGCTTTTTATTCAAGTATTTCTTTATAGAGATGACAGTTTTCCATCAAAACATCTCCTTCTCAATGCAGCCTTGTGCTTTGCTCGGAGCGTCCCACACTTTCTGTTTAAGGCCCTGCTGACTCTCCCCCGGTCTCTGGAACAATCCAGCAAATGCAATCTATCCACCTACCGCAGTCAGACTACAGACAGATCCGTTGGTTAAATCATGCCCGGAGTCTTCTAAATGCTCTTGTGCCTCTTTGCTTTTAAATCTAGCCTAGGCCTCTGTGTCAGACATGTGTCGCGAGATGCTCTTTCAAAAAAATATTGCAGTCTGGCCAATTTATAGGCTTCTGAATAGCTGCAGCCTGCGTATGCTTTGTGGAGATGTACATTTCATGTTTCTGTCTGCACGGCACATACTCCAAGCTGGATCTGCTCAGGACCCTTCCTAGGTTGCTGTAAGCCGAGCACTGGAACTGAAAGCTGGCTGCTGTCCTTCCAATGGCTTCTTCCTCTGCTAGCGTCTACTCCAAGTGGAGTCAAGCAGTGTACAGGCAAGCTGCTTAATTTCAATTAGAAATCAGAGTGGAGACTAAGACTGGCTGGGGGAAGAGAATAGGACCCAGAGATGCTAAAGGGGATGGAGGAGAAGAGGTCACATCTTGGGAGGAACAGGCTGAAATGTCTGTTCACACTAAAGCACATTTTCCACCAGAGCATGAATGACTGGTGCCTCCTGAATCTGGGGGGGTACCCGCAGAAGCCACCGATGGCGGTGGCCCTGTCAGAGGGGGCACCAGCCCTGCCGTCAGCTTCAGTGTTGGCCATCAGGGGGCACCAGCCCCATTGGGGGGGCACATGCACCCCTGTGCAACCCCTACCAGTTGCCTATGCACCAGAGCCTATATATGAACCTAATAAACATGACTTTGATTCTTTGCTGCTGCCGGCAACTATCTGTAAAACTTGCTAGGAAAGTGGCCCATCCCTCCTTAGTTCAAATACATACAAAATGGCTCCTATTGATCTCACCGACCTTGTTGGCTTAAATGGCAGAGGTCTGTTGCGGATATAAAGGTTACAGCCTTGCTAACAGCATCCATATGTTAGATATAATGTCAATTGTGTGTATAACTTTTTTCATTTTATAAGTTTGTTGGTTTAAAGAACTAGAAAAGAAATATGTTGAAATAACAGTAGCAAAGGTGAACAATCAAGCACATCAAAGTTAGGAAATGCCAGAATTAAATTTTCCTGTACAACTTTAATTTTGTGTTTTGTGCACCATATTATGCTAAAGTCTTTAATTACCAATACATGAGCAGATACTACTTTTTCCATAGGCCCCTTGCCTTATTTAGGATGCAGAATGGACCTACTTTGAGGCAGAATAAGGGTTGTCTAGTGAAAAAGATTGTTGTCTATTAGCTCCTGTCCTCATTTATTATGGTGGTTTGACGATGTGTAGGGGATGGGTAGTGTTTTGTATTTTCAGTTTTTACCAAATTTCACTGATAAAATTACCTGATTTTTTGTTGAAGTTATTTAGTTTTTACTGATTTACATCTGTTTTTCACGTCCCCCATGCCTCCTGGGACCCGTACGGCGGCAGGAGCTGCCACCTCCTCCCCACACCGCCTGCATGAGGCATGGATCTGTCCCAAGCCTCACCCCAACCTGGCTGGGAAGTGCAGGGGTCCCAGGAGCTCCATCCCCTCCAGCCCAGCGGTGCAGCCAAGGCTGGCTCCGCCCCAGCCCCCCAGTACAGGACTCCTAGGTGGTGTGGGGCCAGGGTCAGGGCTGGTCCAAGGAGGCAGCCAGGGCCAGTGGCAGACTAGGGGATGGCGGGTTCCCCCCTCCCCCCTTCCCCCACAGACCTTCCTCCCCCACAAATTATTATTTTCCCCAATTTAAACCAATTTTTTCTTTTCTTCCTTTTATCCTGATTTCAGCCCAGTTTTTATGTTTGGACGATAAACCCCGAAAAATTCTGGGAATTTTTTTTTTCAAAATAAAAACTGAAAATGCAGAACACTAGGAATGAGGCAGGATATTATTGGAAAAGAAAGCTCATCTCCTAGGGTGCATACAGAAGTTCAGGCAACCTGTTGGGTAAGCAATCTAACTATGGCACTTTACAGCAGAGTGCCATGAGTCAGAATGCCATTGAACCCAACAGGCATTCACTGGAGGTCTTTGGGGGACCTGGGCTGGACCCATGAACTGGGTGGGGGTCTTTGTTCTCCACCCCCCACTTTCCCCCCGGCCCCACCTCCGGGTATGGTAGCCTTTGCTGCTGTCAAGTTGCTTGCGCAGAGGGTGGGAGAAGCGAACCATCCCTGCCATGCATGCCCTTCCCTGCCAAATATTTACTCTTGTTGAGGTATTGGGGGGAGCCAGGCTAGGCTGTTAAGATAGCTATGTGTTTCAATCAGGTTGGATTCTGTTCTTGTCAGTATCCCACAGTATCTACATGATGCTAAACTACTTTTTGTCATGTATATGTAAAGCAGGAGTTTTAATTATTTCAAACCATTAATTTTTATATATATATATACACAGAGAGAGAGAGAGAGAGGTGTATTCGTACAAAGGATGTTTATATTATTTATGTAGAATTTTACCTCAATTTATAACAAGTACACTGAGAAACAGGCATAAGAGATGACAACAAAGCCTTTGTCAGTCATGCAGATATATAAACCACGTTTAGTCCTATGATATTTGGTGTTTTATTTAATGTCTCAGTTCCTGGAATCCTGAGTGTGCCCACCTTGCTTCGAATATTTGTTCACATCTGCATTGGTGCGTGCTCCTGGTGATAGGCAAAGTGAGGCTTCGTGTAACATCAGACAGGGACCTCAATCATCCCGAGGAGAACCCCAGAACTTTCCTGCCACAACTTTGAATGTATCTTCAGTGGTGGGGTCTCCCGTTGGTGGTCCCTCGAGATTGGTTGTTCCTCCTGATGGATATTAATGGGGCTCCACCTCCCCTACGCCCCTGCCATACGCCAGCCTCCGACAGGCCACCGTGGCTTGCCATCCGGTTGTGATGGTCCTTACCCATCGCACACCTTCAAGTGTCGGTTCTTCTCCAACCACCTTAGTGGACTACGGATCTGCTCGGTGTTACTTTTTCTTACAGGTCTTTCCCACTCAGCGCTGGCTGCCTGTCAGCTCTTGTGAGTGATCCTTGTGATTAAGTTGTTGCTTGGACCCCTCAGCGGCAGGTTATCAAAGAATAACCAAAATAAACCAACAAACAAGGTAAATGACAAAAGAAGAGTAGGCACAGGTTAGACGGCAACAAACAGTTGGATACACAAAAGGGAACACAAAGACTGATAAAGGAAAAATAAAGAGCTTAGGCTGAACTGCCCTGGAGCCTGTGCTTGTCAGTGGCCCCCGATGCTATCCCACCCTCTATTTTGGCTGCGTCTCTTCCATTTCTTTCTGGGTCAACTCTTTGCCCTTGACCCAGTCTTCTAGTGCCTGGTGCCGGGAGTCTCCTCTGTCTCTGGGGCTTTCCCCTGCTCTTCCCTGAGCGGGGTTCCTCCCACACGCCGGTACTGCCCGTGACCAGCATGGAGGCTTGTTGCAGCTGCTGCTGCCTGGGGCATCCCTGTCTGATCGGGATAGTTTCATAGTTGGTAGGGTTGGAAGGGACTGAAGCAGATCATCAAGTCCGACCCCCGGCCATGGGCAGGAAAGGATGCTGGGGTCAAACGACCCCGGCTAGGTGTCTATGTAGCCTCCTTTTAAAGACTCCCAGGGTAGGGGCGAGCACCACTTCCCTTGGAAGTTGGTTCCAGCTCCTAGCTGCCCTGACTGTGAAGTAGTGCCTCCTGATGTCTAGCCTGAATCTACTTTCAGTCAACTTATGGCCGTTGTTCCTTGTTACTCCCGGTAATGCTCATCCTGCAGAGGCCCCACATTACTTGGTACTTTCTTTTTACCCCCTATGTATTTAAAAAAAGACTTCTTGTTA